CGATGTTTGTTCGTGCATTTAAAGAATCCAACTTCGATGGTATACCAGATGTTTGATAGTTTGCCTTGTTGTGTTAAAAGGACTTGCTTTTGGTTCAATACTCCTACTTCATCTACCAATATACGATTCATCTCTTAAGCGTTCTTCTTTAACTTAAAACTTCTGCTGCTATATATGTCGGAAACTATGGGGTTTTCATCAGATGATGTGAGCTACAATAGCCAGTTCAGTTATTAAATTTATGTTGGCCCTTGATATATGTATTGTTCAACCGATGGAAAGATAGTTAACACCTTATCTTTATATATGGAGTGGGAATTTTTATTTTGGGTTTTTGAATGAAAAATAGTGAGATAATTAGAGAGTTTTTTTATCTTTAAAAAAATAATTTTGTTATTTTTTATTTGACTCACACTTGGGATTTCTCTTCTTGAGAAGTAAGGTCAATGTTATCTTGTTCTCTATCATGTAATTACATGTAATTATATGTGTTATGTAACGTTAAAATTACAACCCACGATCATATGATTGACGTCTCTTCTGGTCTTATCACTTCTTTTTTTTTTGTTAAGACTGCACAGTGACTATATGAATGTTTATGTAGGCTATTTGATGAAAACACACAAGAGGTTTTGTGAGATGGACTCTTGGTTGGTTATGTCATGTTTATTGGCATCCTGATAGGCTTTTGCTTGTGATTCAGTGACTAGGGGGCTAATGTTATGGATCTTGAGAAGCTGTTCTCTTTGGTTATGAATTTGGTAAACTGTTGAGAAAATTCATAGATCGGAGTGCTCTTTAATTTTGCTTATTTTGATAATTGGTGGGAACAAACTATAACAAAAGGAAATGAGTTCATGGGACTGTTAGTTTGATTGGTATGATACTGCCACCTGGCTTATGTCTCTTTGTTGTGTGACTAATAAGGCTAAGAGCAAACACTCTGTAGGTTATTTTTGGTAGGATAGCTTTGCTTGTTATGAGTGTATTATTATATGCTAAAAAATGTCAAAGGAGACTATTCTTGGAACAGAGTAGGCAATTTTTCTTGGTCTATATAGCTATTTGATACAATCTCCTCAAAGTGAATGAAATTTTTCTACCTGCCTAGTTATGAACTCCATCAGAATTGAGAGATCATTATTTTCGGACATTAGTTTATTATATTCCTTATGATTTTTATTTATTTATTTGTTTGGTTTATTATTGTCTGTAACTTTTCTTCTTTCTTTGTATCCTTTTCCTCTTACCTTAATATATATATTTTTTTAACCAAAATGATTGAGGAACTCATAGTTTAGAGAGGAATCTGGATGAGAAGCAAAAGAATATAGATAGAGATTAGATAGACAAGAAGAAACTAGAGATTATATAGACCAAAAGAAATTAGAGATTAAGTTAGAAATATATAGAAAACAAAATAAACTGTGAGAGATATGTCAGACATGAAATCGTCGGAAGAACGAACACATACAGATCTCGCAAAGGATCAAAATTCAAGTGAGTTAATGTTTGTTTTTGCCTTAAAAAGCAAATTTAATCTTGCTTTATTTTAGGTATAATGATAAATGAATGTTCTTGCAGTGGATTAAAGGCTCAGCTGGAAGATGGCCAGGTGGGCATGCTTTTTTCTTGTTTATTTTTGAAATGTTGTTCTGGATTGATCATTCAGTACTTCATTTCCTAGGTTTATAATTTTAGTTTTTGGCTAGGTATTGTATTGGTTTAGTGAACACGAGGTGAGAAATAGTGTCTTTGAAATTGTGAATTTCTATTGTCTATTTATTCTGAATCAAAGTGTCGGGAGTTGCTTATTGCATCCGTTTCCTTGGAGGATATGTTAAAAGGAATGATTGAATGCAGTGACTATTATTCATAGGGTTTGTAATATACAATGTTATATTTCTCATAAGCTGTCTTTGATGGTGATGATGGATGGTTAAGTACTTGTCACATTCACAAACTCAAAGATTATTGTTATTAGCAATAAGTGTATGCCTGATGTTCCTTACTATATGAATAGCTTCTGATATGCAGTTAATCGGTTAATAACAGATGATGCCCTTATTAGTTTTTTTGCATACAAGGACACAAAATCTCACGTAAGGCTTTTATTTGTTTAGTGCTTATCATCTTCATGGAGTTTGCAATTAGAATTAGAGTAGTCATATTAATTTAACGTAGTGGGTGAGATTAATCTCATGTAATTAAGTCACTCCCCAACCTGCAATATACTAATAAATTTATGATGGTTTCTGGTTGGATTAGATGTGGAATAAAAAACTTAGAGAAATATGAAGTAATAGCAATCAACACTAAAATGAGTAGCGGGTAGATGCAGTAAAGCAACATCTATTCTACTTTTTCATTTCCACCTAAATATTTTCTTTCGGGTAAGCTGCTTATGCCCCCATTTCTAGAGTAAAATTAGATAGGAAAATCTCATTCTCTGAGTTGTTTTCATTTTCTGCTAAGGAATAAGCTCTTCTTGACAATGTCTTTCATAACTTTTTTTAGTCTCTTGTTCTTCACTTTTCTTATATATATTTTTTATTTTATTTTGTTTTTTTATTGCTTAATGTAAACTCTTTGTATGAAACAATTTGTATTAAAATTTTAATATACCGAACAATTATAATGTTTTTTAACTGTATTTGTACTCAACAATTCAGGTTTTCTTTTTAATTTAATAAAATAACCAAAAAATGAAGTAAATCTTGCAAAAACTTCCACAAAAGATGAAGATGATTATGAAAATCCGAACAAGAAATGAGAATTCTATGAGAAATAGAAATTCTATACTCATCTTTACCACCCAATCCTTTTCATCCATAATCATGGACAATTGCTTGAATACATTTTTAGATTGAATTTATTTAATTTTTTACTTTAATTTTTAATATTTTAAAAATGTGAATTTAACCTTCAACAAGTTATAACAGTCATTTTATGTTGTTGTTGTAATTAATTAAAGTTGCTAACTGTATGCTAAACTATTAAGAATTAGTTAAATTACTATTTTAGTCATTGAATTATTTACTATATACAATTGGTTTTCAAAAGTTTTCTTTACAATTATTTTATATTTATAATGTTATTTCAATCAATTATTTGTTATATAAGGAAAAGATTTTGATAGAGACTTACGGAAATTATTTCTTTTCTTTTGCATATTTTTTACATGTAAAGTTTTAAAAATATAATGATTAAAATTAATTTTAATACATTTAAGAAATGTATGTGATAATAATAAGTATATTTTATAAAAAATATTGAATAATTTTTTTTTTCAAAAATCTTATTTAATGTTAAATATATAATTTATTTATAAAACTTTATAAAATTTTATAGGCTTATAACACCTTATTAGGAAAAAAAATAAAAAATAAATAAAATCGTAATTGTTATTTTTTAATATTTTTTAATATATAATTAAAAAAGGGAATGTTTAATACGAAATTTTATTTTATTTTTAGTATTTAATTTATATTAGATTTATAATTAAAGTGATTTGACTGAGTGTTGTATTTTTAAAATTTTTATATTTATGTGATTATATATATTTTTTATAAAAAATAGACTGAAAAAGTATTAAATATTAGAGGGGCTATCAAAGTTTTAACTTTTCATTGACTATACCCTCCTGATAAGATGGAAACATTAGATTAAAGAATGAGCCTGTGTATACTCTTAAATATATGTATACATATAATATATATATATATATATATATATATTCATCTGGAGTTTGGGCTCAATACAAACTAAAAGGGTCGAAAGGAAACAAAGCATCTGCCTCCAAAATTCCCGAGTCTCAAAAGGGTTAAAAAGGATAGAAGGCCTAGATTCCAACAGACATGGGCTCTTCCCCAAAACTCCTAATTGTAGCCCAGGAGTTATTTGTAGGTCTCCTTCTGACCTTTCTTGTTTCGCTACCATAAAAAAGGCCCCCTGAATTATACAAAAATTTATAAATTTTTTTCTATTCTCTCTTAAATCAGAAACAAATAATGTCAGTAGGAGTTGACCTGAAGAAGAAATTGAAGAAGGCAAGATCAGTAAAGCTCGCAAATTTTGCAAGCTCAAGAACATATAGGAGCAAAGATGATGGTTCTGGATGCGATCAGGATTCAAGAACATATAGTGATGCAGAAATTTCGGCGCACTATTCTGAGGTAGCAATCTCTTGCAGTTCAAGAAAGATTCAGTTTCAGGAAATTTCCCATTTTCCTGAGTTCAGTATTAATGGTGATCAAGATTGGAAAAATACGAGGATTGGAAAACCAAAGATCCTTCTTGCTAGAAATAAGTCTTTAAGGGGTCTTGAAAAAAGCCCAAGTTTGAGACCTTCGGGACCATAACTAGAATGGCTAGTTTGAAATCGAAGGTTCGTCCCAGTCAAGACTCAAACAAACGTTCACCAAGCTACAAGTTCTTCAGTTCTTAAAGACTCCAGGTTGCCTGATCGCAGTAAGCTTCAACTAGCAGGAAACGAATCCGAAGGAGTTTCAGCCACAAAGGTTTGTCCATATACTTACTGTTCTCTTCAGGGCCATCGGCATGCCAATGTATCTCCACTGAAGGGCTTTGTATCAATGCGAAGGCGTGTATTGAAGACTCAGAAAAGCACAAACCCAGAAAATCGAGTTCCACTTAAGTCAAGGCGTTCTGCTAAAAGAATAAAGGAGTTCAGACTTTGCGAAAGTATAGATACTGAATATCAAGAAACTCCCATTGACAGTGTATCTTCCTCAGGTGGACCACCCAGTGAGAGAGTATCAACCCGCAGTTCAGCTGCTGCTGATGCCAGTGAGCCGATGGTGCAACCATCTTTTTCCAGAGAAGAAAAGAAAGACAATCCTAAGGCAGAGAATGTGCTTGTTTTCTCTGAAAACTCTTTGTCCACATTTACCAATAATCCAACCTCCAGAGCCAAAATGGAAAAGCAGAAAAGTAATGTATTTTGGCATCTGATTTATCAAGCATCTTCGCAGCATGGGCCCATTCCTCACATGTCAATGCAGTTCTCATCATATTCCTCCAAAACTTCCTCCGGTAAGCCATTTCAGCTCGCAATTTCACATTAGTGTATCTTTTCAATATAAATGCAATGACTGTCACCGTTGCCAGTATCCCTTGTGGATTTCGGGGATGCAGCCATGATATAAATGGTGCCAGAATATCCTTAAATCTAAAGATGATACTCACCAAGATATGAATGACTTGATGCCTCAAATGTGAAATTGACTTGCAGAATAAGATTCTAAAAGCAATTGTCCTGCCAACTATACTTGTAGGTCCTATTGAAAATGGATCAACACTGGCCTCATTACTTATATCCATATTTGTTTGAAACAAAAGGGGTATGTCTTTAGATGGTTTCTATCCTCGGTTCTTGGATCACACACTGAAAGACAGAAAGCTAAGAACAAAGAACAATTCACCAGATGGGTATGTTGGTCTAGCCAAACCATTTTTTGTAAGAGCAATACAAAGCTTAAAAGAACGTAAATATTTACAAGAAAAAGAGATACACAACACCTCTGTATAACCTATGAACTCTAAGCTCGATCTTTGAGCTCTTTTTTTGTTCTCAACAAACTAATCTTTCAGTTTTTTGGTGCTTTGAATCTTAATCTATGAAAAACTAAAAGAAGAAATAGAGGAATTATAATTCCATCGCACGAGACAATCAATCCTAGTATTGACTTTCATCACATCACAAAATATCGACTGAAATTAATAGAGGATTTCAGCCTCTTTTCCCTGATCTTGACTCCCCCAATTCGAATGAATATCTCCTTGACAAACCAAATATTACCACCCTGAACTCCGACACCCACAAGTTTCCTCACTCGATCATATGAACAAGACCAAGAAAATCTGAACCATAGAAAGAAAACCCTGATTCCCAATTTAATAATGAAATTAGAGTATTTTTTCCAAGTGAGAATCAATAACCAAAAAAGATCAACCCTAAAAAACCAAGAAAACCCAGAAACAGAATCCTCTGAAAAGAAGCCAAAAATTTCACCCTCGAACTTTACATAACAACCGAATCAAATCGAGATTCCCGAGCATCGGAGAAAGAAACCCAAAAAAACCCAGACCCAAGCTACCTTGTTTCCTTTAGGCCCTTTTAGTTTGTATTGAGCCCAAACTCCAGATGAATATATATATATATATATATATTTAAGAGTATACACAAGCTCATTTTTTAATCTAATTTTTCTATCTTATCAAGAGGGTTTAGTCAATAACAAGTTAAAACTTTGACAGCCACCGATATAGTAGTTTAATAATTAATAATTTTTCAACTTATTTAAATGTTAAATAAGATTTGAAGTATTCATTTTGTTAGTATATTATATGCTATAAATTATAATATTTAATTTAATAAATTTAAAATTTTAATTCATTAATAAATTAATAAAACTATAATAAATTAATTAATTTAATTTTAATAAAATATAAATTATAATGAGATAAAAATTCAAAGTGACATTTTATTTGTCAAAAAAAAGCTTCTAAAACCAAAATTTCTTTTATTTTCATTAACAAGTTTAACAAAATAAACTTTTTAGTTTGTTATCTAATTCAAAACATAAATTAATTAAAATATTCTTAAAATAATCCAAACCTCCTTCACGATGTCGTCTCGAAACAACATTCCTTCAAGAAGTTGGTGAAGCAATTAACAGGAACAGTAGTTTTTAGCTTGCAAGCAAGATAAACCAATTCAAATGATGATATAAATTCATAAACGCAACTCTTCTTCTTTCTATTTAATCTTTCTTCTTTTTTATAAATAAAAATTTCGAGTTAAAAAAAAAAATTAAGTGTACAGGGGTCTCCGTGTTCCTATCTTCTGCTATAAATAGAAACTTCTAAGTTCTGAAAATTAGCAGTTTTGTCTCCTTCCAAAGAAAGCTCGTTGATCGGTTCCTTATCCAATCCATTTATTATTATATATATACACATTATATTATTCCATACCCTATCCAATCCAAGATCTTCTCGATTATCTGCCGATTCAATTCCGCGTCACCATATCGGTATCTCTATCCCTTCCCAGATCCCAATGCTACCCTTAAATTAATTCTGTTTTCTGTTATTTCCATGTTTTCGTAGACTTCATTCATTTCTTTGCCCATATTGATCTGGGGGTTTCTTTTATTGTCTTCTTAAGGTCGTGAGCTGGGGTTGTTTTTCTTTCCATCTCTGCGTCTGTTTAAGGTAGCTTGGGTCTGGGTTTTTTTGGGTTTCTTTCTTCTCCGATACTTGGGAATCTTGATTTGATTCGGTTGTTATGTAAAGTTCGAGTGTGAAATTTTTGGCTTCTTTTCGGGGGATTCTGCTTCTTCTGGGTTTTCTTGGTTTTTTACGGTTGATCTTTTTTGGTTATTGATTCTCACTTGGAAAAAAGACTCTAATTTCATTATTAAATTGGGAATCAGGGTTTTCTTTGTATGGTTCAGATTTTCTTTGTCTTGGTTCATATGATCGAGTGAGGAAATTTGTGGGTGTCGGAGTTCAGGGTGGTAAATATTTGGTTTGTCAAGGAGATATTCCATCGACTTGGGGGAATCAAGATCAGGAAAAAGAGGCTGAAATCCTCTATTAATTTCAGTCGATATTTTGTGATGTGATGAAAGTCAATACTAGGATTGATTTTCTCGTGTGATGGAATTATAATTCCTCTGTTTCTTCTTTTAGTTTTTATAGATTAAGATTCAAAGCACCAAAAAGCTGAAAGATTAGTTTGTTGAGAACAAAAAAAAGAGCTCAAAGATCGAGCTTATAGGTTATAGTTATACAGAAGTCTGATTGTTTTCGTATATTTGTTTGAGCAACATTCAGTGTATTGGGAAACTCATTTAATCACTCGTCTGTTACTCTATTTCCCATTATACCTCAAAGTAGAACCTGCGGAGTATATCTCTTTTTCTTGTAAATATTGACGTTGTTTTAGGCTTTGTATTGCTCTTACAAAAAAGGGTTTGGCTAGACCAACATACCCATCTGGTGAATTTTTCTTTTTCTTAGCTTTCTGTCTTTCAGTGTGTGATCCAAGAACCGAGGATAGAAACCATCTAAAGACATACCCCTTTTGTTTCAAACAAATATGGATATAAGTAATGAGGCCAGTGTTGATCCATTTTCAATAGGACCTACAAGTATAGTTGGCAGGACAATTGCTTTTAGAATCTTATTCTGCAAGTCAATTTCACATTTGAGGCATCAAGTCATTCATATCTTGGTGAGTATCATCTTTAGATTTAAGGATATTCTGGCACCATTTATATCATGGCTGCATCCCCGAAATCCACAAGGGATACTGGCAATGGTGACAGTCATTGCATTTATATTGAAAAGATACACTAATGTGAAGTTGCGAGCTGAAATGGCTTACCGGAGGAAGTTTTGGAGGAATATGATGAGAACTGCATTGACATATGAGGAATGGGCCCATGCTGCGAAGATGCTTGATAAAGAGACACTGAGGATGAATGATTGTAATCTTTATGACGAAGAACTTGTAAGGAATAAGGTTGAAGAGCTCCGACACCGTCGCCAAGAGGGATCTCTTAGAGATATAATTTTTTGTATGAGAGCTGATCTTATAAGAAATCTTGGTAATATGTGCAACCCTGAGCTTCACAAGGGTAGGCTTCAAGTGCCAAGGCTCATTAAGGAGTACATTGATGAGGTCTCCACTCAGTTGAGGATGGTATGCGATTCGGACTCAGATGAGCTGTCATTAGAAGAAAAGCTTTCTTTCATGCATGAAACAAGGCATGCATTTGGAAGGACTGCATTGCTTTTGAGTGGGGGTGCTTCACTTGGGGCTTTTCATGTTGGTGTAGTCAAAACTCTTGTAGAGCACAAGCTTCTGCCCAGGATAATTGCCGGTTCTAGTGTAGGATCTATCATGTGTGCCGTTGTTGCCACCAGGTCATGGCCAGAGCTGCAGAGCTTCTTTGAGGATTCTTGGCACTCATTGCAGTTTTTCGACCAGTTAGGTGGAATCTTTACAGTGGTAAGGAGGGTTATGACACAGGGGGCTCTTCACGAGATAAGACAATTGCAATGGATGCTGAGGAATCTCACTAGTAATCTTACATTTCAAGAAGCGTATGACATGACAGGTCGAATTCTTGGGATAACTGTCTGCTCCCCGAGGAAGCATGAACCACCTAGATGCCTGAACTACTTAACTTCACCTCATGTTGTTATATGGAGTGCTGTCACTGCTTCCTGTGCCTTTCCTGGTCTGTTTGAAGCCCAGGAACTAATGGCAAAAGATAGAAGTGGAGAGATTGTTCCTTACCACCCACCCTTCCATTTGGATCCTGAGAAGGGTTCAGGCACATCTGTGCGTCGATGGAGAGATGGTAGCTTGGAGATCGACTTACCTATGATGCAGTTGAAGGAACTTTTCAATGTCAATCATTTCATTGTAAGTCAGGCAAACCCACATATCTCACCTTTACTGCGGCTGAAGGACTTTGTGAGAGCTCATGGAGGTAGATTTGCTGCCAAGGTATGGTCATATAATTCTAGTCTTCTCCTCTGAAATTCTATGCATTACCCTATTTGTTGTTTTTCAACAATGATATCTCTATATTTTTTGCACAAAGTATGTGTTTTTAATAATTAAATATATGGTGTTGATAGCTGGATTTAATGTTCCTGGAGGTTAATTTGTTTTTTTCATATGCTTTTTTAAGCATTATGAGCTGATTTGAAGGCTTGTTTTGTTTTCTTACAGTGGTTAGAAATGATCGGTTTATGTCTTTGTACATTCAATCTAAACCTGGGTCCTCTGTGCTATTTTTTTCTGGTTATGCTTGTAAAACTGAAAAACTGAAAATATATTGTACCAGTACATCACATCCTAAATCACAGAATTTGATGGAAATATGTTGGCTGCGAATCATTAAATTGCCCTTTGCAAGTAAAAGTTATGAAAGAAAAGATCAGTGATGTCTTCATCTTGTACAGGATCCTTAGACAAGTCCAAGATCCTCACCGAGTTGCTAGCTAGTCAGAATTAGGTTTTTAGGAGGAATAGAAACTTTGGAATTATCAAAGCATTCAATAATTTACTCTCAGAATCTTGCTGTCCACAAGTAAATTGATTATTGTAATGAAGAAGCAATATCTTCTTGGAAGAGACACATGATTTGCACCAAAGTGGGCAAGGGTTTTGAAAAGAATTTAGACCTCGAAAGGCCCGAGAATTGTGAAGTGATGATTACTTTGTATAATTAGACAAGTTAAAGAAAAAGGTGACATGTACTATTAGAAATCATGAACAATCACTGCATAGAATTACTTCTGCTATAAACTATATTATTCTGCTACTAGACACCATGAACAGAAAAGTGATTTCTTTTGAAGGTCTTTCTTGTTATTTTCAGCAAATTGAGTCTAGATTCTTATGAAAAATGTAGGTTAATTTTAAGTGCAAATGTTTGTTTTTTTGTTTTCTCAATTAGCCAATCCTTTATTTCCTTGTGACACATTTGCTTTTCGTTTCCTTTTCTCAAGTAGAGTGTAATAACCTTTTTATTCTACTTTGGTAGCTTGCTCAACTTACTGAGATGGAGGTTAAACATAGATGCAATCAAATACTGGAACTTGGCTTCCCACTCGGGGGACTCGCCAAGCTTTTTGCCCAAGATTGGGAAGGTGATGTGACCGTGGTTATGCCTGCCACTCTTGCACAGGTACTGGAAAACAGATTTTAACCATTGGCTTTTTTTAGGTTTAGTTGATCATTCATTTTAACCATGATTCCTTTCATTTTTTGATACTGTTAAAATTTGTGGAAGACTTAATAGGTTTTCCCATGATTAGTTGCATAGAAGTTATTAGAATAACTTGTGATAGGTTGTGTTTCTTCATGCTCTGTCATGTGGGTTAATTGAATTTAATTTACACATTTAACCTATGATGGCAATTCTTTCTCTTGCAGTACTCGAAAATCATACAAAACCCAACACATGGGGAGCTTCAGAAAGCTGCCAATCAAGGGAGGAGGTGCACTTGGGAGAAGCTTTCGGCCATAAAAGCAAACTGTGGGATTGAGCTTGCTCTTGATGAGTGTGTTGCAATTCTCAATCACATGCGTAGACTAAAAAGAAGTGCCGAGAGGGCAGCAGCTGCCGCCTCATCTCATGGGCCAAGCAAGTTCAGTGCTTCGAGAAGAATTCCTTCGTGGAACTGCATTGCACGAGAGAATTCAACCAGCTCCCTCGAAGAACTTCTCCTTACAGACACTGCTCCTACTTTTCATCAGGGAGTTGGCTCATCGTCAGGGGCACCCATTGGTAGGAATTTACGTAGCCAGCGAAATGCACATGATGGGAGTGACAGTGAATCTGAAAGTGTAGATTTGAATACTTGGACACGATCTGGTGGGCCCCTGATGAGGACAACTTCTGCAAATCTGTTCATAGAGTTTGTCAAAAACCTGGATGTTGATCTGAATTAGCAAATGGTTTAATCACTCATCCAATCTCTCCTGGGATTACAATGGGGAGCAGCAGGGATCCATATAATCAGAGCTCAAGAATTACAACACCAGATAGAGGTTCAGAAAATGAATTTGATTTGAGGGACCATGGCATTAGAACGCCAGTTAATGGCTCTAGCATTACAGTCACCGAAGGCGATCTTCTGCAGCCGGAAAGGATCCATAACGGGTTTGTTCTTAATGTTGTTAAGCTAGAAGACTTGACACTCTCAAATAGGAATCAGGATTTCGAGAATTTCAATAGTGAGGTACCCGAATGCGTACAACTTGATTCTCCTGAAAAGGAGATGGATGCAAGTTCAGCTTCGGAAGACGGAGATGACGAGATGGCTGCATCAAATTCCCCAAATAGAATCCCTGCTAATGATGTTGTTGACTCCACGGATACTTACACTTCCAGCCAACACGATGGTAATGTACAGAGTTCTGCTGATCATTGATTTTGAGTCTTGGGCCACCATTGATTGTCTCAGTAAGCTTTGCCTGCTGAACAGTCCCCCGGAATTGATTCTGATACTGCTGTCCTTCTGAAATCATTTAGCAATGGCCACTGATGATGTGGGAATTCATCAGAATTTTCAGAGTCATGAAAATCTCTAGTGCAGAATTTACTTTTGCCAGGAAATTTGTCTTGGTGTTTTTTCATTTTCCACGAAAGTTCAATTGAGATTCAAACTTCAAAGTTCAAGTTGTTTCCCAACCACCAAGGCTTGGATAGATATATGGAGATTTGGTGGGGAAGTGGTTTGATTTTGTCACGGGAGTGGGTTGACTGTATGTAGAGTAATCAGATCTTCCATGAAGATAGGAATCACCATAGCTGTCTGCCTAACAGCAGAGCATAGTTAAAAAGTGTTTTGTTATGTAGCAATCTTGTTGTTTTTTAATTTTTTTAAGACAAAAAAATTCATAATTGGTTTACACACTCACATGTTATAGAAAAATGAAGGTGCCATATTTTACACCTCTCTCTCTCTATGCTTATATACATATATATGTTTGATGTGTTTCATGGGTGATTTACGCGTATATCTATATATGTGTGTGTTTGTTAATACACATTCTGTAAAATAAGAAATAATTTTAAAAAAAAAAATTGAAAATTGGTAGCAAATTATGGCTTAAAATACGGAGTAGGAGTAAATTAAACTCACCCTCATGTGGAAGGAATTTTAGACGAGTGGATTACCCATTACATTATTGCTTCTTCTGGCCCAAGCTTTCCAGCAATAAAATCAAACTAACCAAATTCAATTTTCACACGCACAAATTTGTCAACCAACATTATTATTATAATTAATAATAGACTAAGAACAAAATTAAATTGTCTTATGTAGATACTTGGTCTGTGTTCTAAATTTTAAAATAATTAATTAATTTAATTAAAATTTTAATAAACAATTTTTAAATAAATAAATAAAAATTAGTACTTTAAATTTTATAAATTTCAACAGAATTTTAAATTTTTTTTTTTCTTTTAATTTTACACAAACTTTTAAATGAGATTAAAAAATTGAAGTCCTAAGCTACAATTGACAATAAAAATGTGTATACAAATGTTTGGGTTTTTTGTTAAACATAATAAGTTTGTTGATACTCAATTTAACTTAATCACTACAGTTCTACCAGCACAATAATGAGTTAAATTTTCGATTCTACTGAATCAAATATTATAAATTAATCATTATTAATTCATAATTTATGTATAAAACGACGAATTCTACATATCTAGTGAGATTTAAACTCAGTATTTTTTAATCAGAACACTATAATATTAATCGCTATATATTTATCCGTATTAGTTACTATTTGGAAAGTGTGGCCAAAAGATAAGGCACGTGGGCAGTCTTAAAAAAGTTCACGGGTAGATTCAAGATTCATTTGGAACTTAGTAGGTGTGAGGGTGTTTTGTGTATTCTTTTGGTTGCTTATTTGTCAAGCCGACCAAAAAAAATAAATGTAATGATGCAGAAGAAAGCATGAAACTTTATGTCAAATGAAGCTTTGTATTTTATTTAGTACTAATACTGTTCTCCATATGAAAAGTATTTATAAGTTTTGTCTTTAAATTCATTTATAATTTATTTATTAATTACTTAAATATATTTATATATATGTTACTTAAATACAAATAATAATCACCCATAATATTTATTTTACTATAACATAAAATCTAACTCATTAATATGTTATTAATGATAATATTTAAAAATAAAATAAATATTTTGTAATAATTAAAATTTTATAATTAATATAATTATAATATTAAAAAAATTAATTAATTTTTTATTTTCTCGTATTAAAAAAATGCCAACTTAAATTCCTTCAAAATTTGAGGCTCTCGACAGGGTGAGTTAATGTGGGTTACCCATTAATCCACACACACACACACACACCCCCACCAAGACATATAACATGGAAATGTGGCAACCCACTTGAATTTTCATTTATAAATCAATTTTCAAACACTTGTTTTATTTTTTATGTTTCAATTAAAATAAAGTAAGTATTTTATTATAGTTAATATATATATATATATATATACGTGATGTTTGGTTAAGGAGACGTGTTTGAGGAAGACGACGACACCAATATAAATTTTCGAATTACAAAATTTTAAGTGAAATTAATATATTGATAACCCATATTTTTGTACCGAATAAAATAATTAATCAGTAGAATGATCTCTGAATGTCTTGCTTACCAACACAATAACAGAAAATGGAAAAAAAAAAAAAAGGTCCTCTAATTATTGTAACGAGTTATATAATTCATACCATAGTTTATAAATTAAATAAAATAAAATAAAAGAGGACAGCGGTCCAACTGCTTGTTATATAATAATATTTATAAATGGCTGTTTGTTTCCCAAGAAAATAAAGCATGAAATAAACTAGGAGAGTTTTAGAAGCGACGAGTGAAGTGAATCCGGCAACTTGCTCTTCTGTATTTTTGCGTATTCAGTGTGCCGTTTCCTTTCCGTGTGCTTTTCAAATCTGTCGGCCATGTTTATTAATGAAATTGTTTATTTAATAAATAAAGTGAATTTCTGGTTATTGTGTTTAATTAAAGATTCAAATATTAATTATATATAAAATTTTGAAAAAAATTAATAATTAATAAATTTGGTTAAATAATTTAAGAAAAACTAAACCCAACTTTTGAATTATCATTAAAAAAATGACATGATTTGAATTGTTATAAAGTTTTATTTTAATGCATGCACTTATTTATAATCCATAGTTTAATTTGACTCAGGCATACAATGAACATGGTTAGAAATGAAAAGAGACTGATAAAATACAATGGTTTTATGATAATTTTATTCGGAGAAGAAGAGAGAAAGTTAATTAAACATAAAATTCACATGACTTCAAACGTTATAACATGTGCAAAGAGAATTATAATTATTCATCACAGTCAAATAAATTAAATTCAATTATCACCCGATACTAGTTCGTGGTTGAGATTAGATGGCGAAATTATTTTTATTTTTATTTTTTGAATATTTTTCAAGATTCAATTAATAATTTTGTTCATGTTTTAAAATATAATTAATTAATATGTTAATTAATCAATTATAATAAATTAGTAAAAATATTTAACGATTTAATTATTATTATTAATTGTATAATAATGCCAAATAAAGGAAGAACTAAATCTCATTACTCAAATGTTGTATACATTTGTTACACCTACAAAATCTATAAATGATTGCATGATTAAATTAACTTACCAAAATAATTATTTATTTCATGGACTGTATATTAAATAAGTAACATTATCTTATTTTTAGCAAATGAAGATGCTAAAAATTTCCATCAATTGATATAAGATATTAGCAGAGGAAAGTAATTATAATTTATCAGTTAATACACATTCAATTATATAACTAATTGAATAAAAATAGAGTTAATTATCAAAATAATATCAAATTTAGTATTTTCGTTTATATTATTATTATTTTTTCTATAATTGGGTAATTAAAATAGTTTCTAAGTATTTTTATTTATTTATAATAATTATATAATTTTAATCCTACTCTAAAAGTCCATTTGAGTATTTCAAAAAGAAGAGTAGCTTTGGGATTCCTTTTAGCTCCCTTTCCTGAGTTTTGACTTATGTAGAGTAACAGTCAATTACGATTATCTATAAATTAGTAAAAAAGATTATAATTAATTATTATAAATTTATAAAAATTCCAAAACACCACAACCAGACAAAGTGGAGTATCAAAGTTGTGTGCATATTCCACCAAGAAAAATTATTTTATATATATATATATATATATAAATTCCACTAATTTTCTTGAACTAATTAAATTAATTTATATATCTAAATTAATATCCATACAAACAAGATGTATATATATATTTTTAATAAATAAATGTGTGTAAATATTTAATAAAGTGGAGCCCACCTGAATAAAAAATAAAAAATTATCTTCGCTGTAGAAATATAAATAGTGCTGAGAAAATATTGGCACCTACGAAGCTTCCTGGAAGCTGCAATGGCTTTCACTCCATTTAATCCCCCCAGCTTCCTCACTCCTTCCCAACAATCTTCCTCCTCTGGTTTAATCTCTTCCATCTCTTTTCCCTTCTGCGTCTCTTCTATCCTCTTCTCCAACCATGAAGCTAGTCAAGATGAACCCTAAATATCTAAAGTTCAGCCCCAAACGCCTCTTTCGGTCCAAGGACCGATCCGATGTTTCAAGATCCGACCCGCCATCGTTCGGCTCGTCTTCTTCCTCAGATGCCTCATCTTCCATCCACAAACCCAGTTCTGGAATCGGTGCTCCGGGTTCTGGGACGCCCACCAGTGTTTTGCCTGAAATTTCGGGTGACTGGTCTGATATTTCACCCTATATTTGCTTCGAGCTTGCTCAAGCGTTTAAAATGATAGATAAGGATAATGATGGGATGATCTCGAGAGGTGAGCTGGAGGCGCTCCTGAGCCGGCTCGGAACCAAGCCGCCGAGCCGGGAGGAAGTCAGCTTGATGCTTAGCGAGGTTGACGGGGATGGCGATGGCTCCATAAGCATAGACGCGCTGATGAGCCTGGTAGCCGGCTCGACTAGCGAATTTGCTTGCGACGCCGAGCTGCGTGACACTTTCGATTACTTCGACACGGACCACGACGGCTTGATCTCGGCTGAGGAACTCCTGAGGGTTTTCTCAGCCATCGGCGACGACCGGTGCACGTTAGAAGATTGCCGGCGCATGATAGCCGCTGTAGATAAAAACGATGACGGATTTGTGTGTTTCGAGGACTTTTCACGTATGATGGAGCCGCAGAGATGATCATGACAATCAGAGATGGTGACGGTGGTGATGATAATCATGTGAAGCGCTCTACATGATAAGAAAATGGAAATCGTTTGATATTTTTTTTTTCTTTTTTTTTTAAAAAAAAAACTAATTTTCCAATAATTTGGGATCTAGTTTGTTTCTTTGTTTGTTTGTTTTATATATATATATATATATATTTTGCTTTTAAATTAGGAAACGGGGGATTCTAAAAAGACGGGGTCAAATCAAGTGGGAGGATTATTGAATATCAACGGTCAGGATTTATCCTTTACGAAGGATAAAATGGACTTTTCATCTGCCGTATATATATAAAGAGAAATGGGTTTTCCCGACATCTATTCTTTTAATACGTGATTAATAATTTAGTATTGTTTTAGATTTATATAAAATAAAGTTTTTTAATTAACGAAATAAATAGTAATGGGGATAATATTAAACGATTGATATCATTTCAGTGGAAGCTAATTACTGTTTTTGAGTAATAATAATCCACTTCTGACTCATCATGGGTGTTTATCCACGTGGCAGGATGAACCAATTTGTCATGTAGACAGAAATTCTCACACGACAGCAGTAGTATATTATGAAGTTTCGTTTTCTCTTCTTTTTTCTTTTGTTTGTTAACACTTTTTTTTTTTTTTTATTTTTAAGGAATCATTTTTGTTTTTAGATACTTTTATTTTAAATATTTATAATAATAATAATTTGAGTTCCATTTTATTAACTACATAAACTTTTAAATTACTTTTTATATAAAAATTATAAAATAATCAAAATGTAAACACAGGAATGTCTTTGGAATTTTGGCATTTGTTGTAACAAACAAAGCCCGTATCAATATATTCTGAATTTCTGACAAGCCAGCTATTTGAAAAATAAATAATCTCATAAACCAATTATCGGTTTATTTTAAGGTTTTATTGGTTCTCATCCACTTGGGTTATTGATTAGCGATGTGAATAATGAGTGAATTAAAATATAATTATTAATTTTATGCTTAAGATTTGTGAGTCGTCGAATTAATATTCATTCTACTTTAAATTCTATTAAAAGAAATTAAGTTGTTGAAAACAAGGAAGGAAAAGTCATGGGAAATGGCGGTTTGGCGTGAAGTAAGAGGGAAGGAACGTGATAGTTTCCTAAATGAGATTTTGGATGTAAACAAGGGGCGGGCCTGATTGGTCACGAAGACGCACTATACTTGTTACCAAACACACCGAGGACAAATCGCTATCGCTATCCCTCTTTTTTAATTATCATCTTATATTTTTTTTTTTTACTATAAACTTTATATTAAAATTCATAATATCTAATTAGAATAAAAGAATTAAAAAACCACTCCTATTGTAAAAGGGACGTTTCTTCCAAGGTGGCTGTCAAGTCTAAAGGCTGAGATTTTGCAGGCTGTGAAACTTTCCAGGAAATTTCCTTTGCTTTTCAACATCATACGACCGTGAAATCAACAGTTATAATTAATAATTAATAATTAATTAGTAGACTGTTTCCCATTGGCGATTACTGATTACTGGGGAGTTGACGGAATGTATTTTTTTATTTTTGGGTTTTTGTATATCTTGCGGAATGTTTGGACACGCAAATAATGAAATTCTGAAGTTTGTTTAATCATAATAAAAATGTTAAAGAAATTAGAATGCTATTTTTTAACAAATAAATTTCTGAATTATATAGATATATATATTTATAGAATAATTAAATTATATATTTATATTAAAAAAAAATTAAACACATATTATAAGTCTTAATTAATATAGTATGCCGCACATGTCTTTCGTTTTGTTTACAAAATTTAATCATGAGAGGCGGACCACAAATTTTTATTTCATTTTTCACATTTCTAAATGCTAAAAATAACAACTATTATTTAATTATATAAAGTGTGGAAGCGAAAAACTAATTAGATTCCAAGAAAAAAAAAAAAAAGCTAATAATATATTTTAGAATTTACGAATAAACCACCGTAGTTCCTGGGGAATCACATTTAATGAATTATGGTTTTTTTTTTTCCTCCCCAATTTATTGTTTAAAATTTTAATTTGTATAAATATAATTAATTTGATAATTGAATTGTGACTCAATTTGTTTTTTTTTTTAATATATTTTCTGAGAAACACAGAGCATTAAAATTTATAAATCACGGAATTTTAAAATCTTTAAATGCATATATCTATATGTACGTGTGTATTTTGTTATTTTATGTAAACTATATAAATTATTAATATTCAAAAAAATAAGATGCACAATAATAGTTATAAAATATTTATTTTTATATATAAAAAAATATATAATAAACTTAAGGACAGACAGAGTTTGGATTTAGTAAAACACAAAAACCTCTTACTATTATAAGCCCCTTATGTGGCCCATTAGCCCAACCTACAAAAGAAACACACACACACACACACACATGTATATAAGCATTATAAATAAATATTAGGAAATAAATATAAATGTTTTTATAAATTCATAGCAAGTAAAGAAACCCCAAAAATTACAATAATAATATTGTTCAAATAAAAGAAGATATACTTGTTATTATTAAATACTTATTAATGTTTATATGCATATTTATTTGAAAATTTCCAATTTATAAAGTTTTGGATTTTTAGAAATCAAATAAATGCTATAATAAGTTTCAAATATCACTAAAATGTTACCATCAAATTTAAATATCTGACTTAAAATTAACATTTTAACAAATAAAATAGTTAATTGCTTCTTTTTCAATTATAAGAAAATTTTAATATTGAACTAGGAGTGGTAATAGTAGAACCTGGAGTGTCAATAGCAATTACCGCAGTTTTGACTTAAAAAGGGTAAGATTCCAGTTTTTCCCGTTACTCCAATGCTATTTTATCCTTCTCATGTCCTCCCCCGATTCGTTTTTTCTCGTTTCTCAAAACTTTCTCTTCTTCTACTTCGCGCCCATCACCTGAAACGCCAAAGCCATCTTCCTCCGCTTGTAAATTACTCCAAACACCTGAAAACACTGAAGCAAATCGCTGCTTCCTTGACTGTATCATCTGGGTCTGACCACGTACCCAACTCTGTTTCTTCAAAGTTTACGTCTCTGTATACCCAATCTGGTGACCTCAATAATGCTGTTTCAGTATTCAGCTCGCCACAAGAACATAACACAAAGGCATGGAACTCGATCATTAGAACCCACGTTGATTTCGGTCGTGTGGTTGAGGCTTTTTCATTGTACAGGAGGATGAGAGAGCTGGGTGTTGTGCATGACGGTTTCACGTTCCCGATAATAAACAGCGCGATTTCGCTGCTCGGCGGAGACGGTGGTGATGTTATTGAGTGTGGGAAAATGATTCATTGCGTCGCTGTCAAGATGGGTTTCGGGCTGGATTTGTATTTCTGCAATACTATGATGGAGGTTTATGGCAAATGTGGGCTTGTCAGTTCTGCGCGTAAGGTGTTTGATGAAATGCTTGAGAGAGATTTGGTTTCTTGGACGACAATGATTTCGGGGTATGTTTGTGAAGGGAGCTTTGGCTGTGCGTTTAGATTGTTCAGAATAATGAGAGTGGACATTGAAGCTAATTTTGTGACTGTTATTGTTCTGCTGCAGGGATGTTCCCTGTCTGAGATGCTGTCTGAAGGGAGGCAGATTCATAGTTATGTTATCAAGAATGGTTTACTGAGTGATGGGGTTGTTCAAAACTCAGTTTTGAGATTATATGCCAGAGCTGACAGTTTTGAAGAAGAAGAAATTTTTTTCAGTGAAATGGATCAAAGAGATACAGTTTCATGGAATACTATCATAGGCTTTTACTCCTCAATAATGGATATTGAAGAAGTGGTTGCTGGATTCAGGAAGATGCAGAGTGAAGCACTGTTGACGGTTGAGACACTGACGTTGGTTGTATCAGCATTTGCGAAGTCTGGGAATCTTAATGAAGGGAAAAATTTACATTGTTTCGCTGTAAAAGTTGGGTTATTCGACAATATTTTTGCAACTTCTTTGTTGGATTTTTACGCTAAACTTGGTGACATGGAAAGTTCAGATCGATTATTCGGAGACATCTCTAACAGAAATGCCATAACTTGCAATGCAATGATGTCTAGTTTTGTTCAAAATGGTTATTCCAGACGTGCAATTGCCTTGTTTCGGAAACTGCAAGATGCAGGCCTGCAACCTGGAGTTGACATTTTGAGAAATCTTGTTGATGCATATGCCAATCTGGGTGCTCTCAATTTGGGCAAAGGAGTACATGCTTACCTGGTAAAGAACTTATCTTACGAACTCCAAGAAAGCAATTCAAATTTGGAATTGGAAACTTCTATTCTCAACATGTACATAAGATGTGGAAGCATTTCTACTGCTAGAGAATTTTTCAGTAGAATTTTGGCCAAAGATGTGGTAACTTGGACATCAATGATTGAAGGGTATGGTACTCATGGACTTGGTTTGGAGGCCATTGAAGTTTTTCACCAAATGGTGCATGAAGGAATCAAACCAAATAGCATTACCTCCTTGAGTTTACTATCAGCTTGTAGTCACTCTGGCCTTGTAAGTGAAGGCTGTGAAGTATTCCATTCCATGAAATGGGAATTTAATATCCGACCCGCTTTGGATCACTACACTTGTCTCGTTGATCTATTGGGTCGCTCTGGAAATCTCAAAGAGGCTTTAGCCATAATAATGAGAATGGTCCCGTATCCGGACAGCGGGATTTGGGGTGCACTTCTTGCTGCATCCAGAGAGTATGGGGACAAAAGAGTTGGGGAATTTGCAGGTGAGAGGTTATTGAAGTTGGAAGCAGATAATGTAGGGTACTACACTTTGTTGAGTAATGTAAAAGCTAGCAGACAAGAGTGGGCTGAAGTTGAAGAACTCAGGAGAGGAATGAACTCAAAGTATCTAAAAAAGAAACCAGGGTGGAGCTGTGTTGAGCAGAAAGGAAGAATACATGGTTTTGTCTCTGGAGGTAAACTATGGAGCGCAGAAGAGACGACACCGTTTTAGCAATGACGTAGAACGCGGGCTGGAAATCTTCACTTCCCTAAACACTACTAATTTAATTTGAGTATAATTTAATTTTTTAAAAAATAAAAGAGACTGCTAATTGGTTTTAAAATATATACTTAAAGGACAAATTATACTAAAAGGCATTCATTATTAATTATATATACCCATTTAGCATAAATGATTATTCACATTCTACTTATCATATTATTTAATAGTTTCAATAAAAAATAGTAATATTTTATATTTATGCATGTATAAAAGCAACTAAATTGTTATCGCTAAATATATATTAATTAAATTTTATCATTTTTAGTGGTTTAATTTTTATTCTAAAAGAAAATATTTAAATTTTGTTCCACGGCTTATTCTTATAGTAGAACAAAAATATATGAAATGGAATTTTTTCTTTATTTTACTTAATGTGCTTTTGGGGGGAAAAAATGAAAATGCATAAAATAATAAGAAAAATTAAAACATTTTGTACACAGAAAATATTTTGTTACACAAATTTTACTCTCCTCTTCCTCTGTACAAACAGATCAGTGAAGTGAAAGATCCAGCCAATGGCAGGCTGGCGTAGACCTTCACATGTCCGGGTCAAAAAGCCCACCAGCACAAAATTAACCACTGTAAAAAAATGACGGTGACGGTGACGGTGACGGTGATATAGACGACAACCAAGGTTCCGTTTCGTTTGAAGGAAAAACACTGAATCTCGGTTCGGCTGTACTCAACTTTGATCTTCCTTACTTCACATGGTTGGCTTACCTTCTTATTCCCAGAAATCTACGAAAAACCCTGGGGGAAGAAGCTAGAAACAGAGGGGAAGCGGAGAAGAATACGTGGAAAATCGAAACGTAAGAACAGAGTACAAATGGGCGGATACGGACTGAGGTCTGCGTTTGATTCGAGAACAGGGCAGATGATAATGGTGGCCCTGGTGCTGATGGTGGGATCCTTCTATGCCGGTACTCTCTTTGGCAACAATGCCCCAATATACGTCTCTCAAGCCTCCTCGTCCTCGTCGTCATCCCCATCTTCCAATCCTTCGTCGTCGAGTTCAACCCAAGGTGTGTTTACATTTATATTTGAAAATTATACGAGTTACAACTTTCAAGTTCATGCATGGAGTGCTTCTCGTCTTTTGATAATGTAGTTTGGCTCATGGAATTTAATTGACTAATGCCCATTTGAAAATTTGTTTTATAAATTATTATATTTATTTATATGGAACGCAAGTGTGCTTCTAAACCGAGAACGTTTTGAGCTCTGCTAGATTCTCCATTTTGGTCAAATTCTTTAAACGATTAAAATTTAATTTTGGGTTTATAGAATGAGTGGATCTTTTCATATTCTGTTAAGATCTTTGTTACTTTGTTCTTTTCGGGGGAAGACTTAGTTTCTGGGATTTTAGCATGGATCAATTATTTTGCGTTCAACAGAACAGTTTCTCTTTTTTCTGTTCAACTAAGGAGAAGTTTTTAAGGAACATTTTATTGGGAAAGTAATCTAAATAGGAATGTAGATTCAGCTTCCAAATGACTGATTTCTCAGTCTGTTGTGCCCTTGGGATACTTCTTGTCCTGTTAGGGCATTAACATGAATCGTTAGACCTAAGAGAATGGGCAGTTTTAATTGTCATAGCTTAACATAATTCCCTTAATATTATGATAACTTTCTTTAGCCTTTGGGAATGCCAACTTATACGCTTTTGCAATAAAAGAATGTTGGCGGGGTTTAACTTCCTCAAATTTTAGGTTCGGCTGCATTCACAAACAAGGTTGCTCTTACTTATCGAAGAACACCACTTGTGATCCCAGAAAATGGAATGGATGTGTGTCCCTTGAGGTTCAATGAGTATATCCCGTGCCATGATATATACTACGTGAAAACATTGCTGCCAAGTTTGGATCTTTCGAGAAGAGAAGAGCTTGAAAGGCATTGCCCTCCACTTGAACAGCGCTTGTTTTGCTTGGTACCACCACCTGAAGATTATAAAATACCAATAAGATGGCCAACCAGCAGGGATTATGTGTGGCGAAGCAATGTGAATCATACACATCTTGCTGAAGTCAAGGGTGGACAAAATTGGGTGCACGAGAAAGGTCAGTTGTGGTGGTTCCCGGGTGGAGGCACTCATTTCAAACATGGGGCAGCTGAGTACATTCAGAGGTATATGTAGTTGACTTCATCTTCTACCATTTGTTTATTTTGATAGCATATCATCTGTATTTCTATGGAACTTGTGATGGCTGTATTTTTTCAAGCTCTTTAACAGACAATCTCTGTCTTTATGGGAATTAAGTCTCTGCTGGTTTCATGTAAAGTACAAGCTTCATTCCAACACAATTTATTAGCTTCAGCTATGTCGTAAAACTGAAACTACCTGGGCCTTCAAACAGCATTAAGAAAGTGCAATTAGGTGCAAGAGATTCAGGAAACAAATTGGAGAAATCTTCCATGAAAATACAAGAAACACAAGCAGATTATTATGTTTGCTAGCGCATTTGGTTGGTTTTAGGAAAACATTTGTACCCATTTATTTTCTGTTAATACTGAGAATAGTTTACCTTTGCTTCTACACAGTTATCCTCTCAAGCCTATGCTTTTGTATCATTATTTTTTAAGTGCAGAAGACAGTTTCCTGATGCATTTTATCTTGACGAAGCATGGATATCTTGTGGTTCGGTTCGCTTCCTATTTGTTTTGGATTAACTCTGCCTAAATGAGTAGTCAGCTACTCTGATACTCAACTAAAATGTTCTCAATGACAATGGAGAAAATATATTTTCTCGTAACTATAGCATAATAACTGGAATATGATTGGCGGAGGTGGGAATAAGACGAGTCCTCTGTGCTTTTTAATCAGTAGGTTCTTCAGCATGTGCAGGAAAAAAGATGGAGGGAATTGTGACTAATTTTGTTATTTGAGATGACTTCAACATTTTCCTTCCACTGGCTGGAATTTGTAACAATTATCAGCACGTTTATAGTGGTTTGCATGTATTTAGGGGGTTGCCCTTCATGCTCCAGTTTTCTCTGCTCACTTGTGAGACTTGCATTTGCTACTTTTCTTTTTGTTTCACTCATGAGAATAATGGTTGACAGTGTTAGCTGCGATAACAGCACCAGATAGTGTCTTTGTAGTGCTTCATGACAAATTGAATAGAGAATTTTTTTTTCTCTAGGTACTTGCTCAAAATGCGTTAATATATTTGCCATTTACATTGGATTTCTCTGTATTTAGATATTCAGGTTCTAATGATAGCATACATTAAGCAAATACTTATAGGCTTTCTACATAGTAACATTCCAATAACTTCATTGAGATTTTTATTGATGCTAAGTGGAAGCTGGTCATACTTACATTACTAATTTTCTGGCCTTGCTTTTTTTCCCAAATTCAGGTTAGGAAATATGACAACTAATGAAAGAGGTGACCTGAGGTCAGCAGGAGTAGTGCAAATTCTGGATGTTGGTTGTGGAGTTGCCAGCTTCTCAGCTTATCTCCTTCCCTTGGATATTCAGACAATGTCTTTTGCTCCCAAAGATGGTCATGAGAATCAGATTCAATTTGCTTTGGAGCGAGGAATTGGTGCAATGATTTCTGCCATAGCTACCAAACAATTACCCTATCCCGCAAACTCTTTTGAGATGGTTCATTGCTCAAGATGCCGTGTTGATTGGCATGAGAATGGTATTCTTCCATTTTGAACTTTTTGTTTTTTAGTTCTTTTTACAAATTAGTATACTCAAACTATCGAATAATTTCTGGAGTGTCAGATATACTTCATAAACACAGCTTATATTTTACATATCTTGGCTTTTGACTTGATACAAAAGAAGCAACTATTAAATTGGAAGTGTCGGTGCCAGGAAAGAAGCATAATAGAACAAGATATCTGAAATAAATAGTGAAAGAAATGTGTTAATATCTCAAGTTTTATATGGCTTCGGATATTTCTTGTTCTCTTGATTAACAATGGCATGGGGATCAATGAATTCGTCTACTTGATAGATACCTACCACAATATTTTCTAGTGTCTTTAACTTTCACTAGGAACTGCTGCTCAAGACACCACAGCATTGTTTCCCTGCTGATTGCTAGCTTACTTTTAGTTTTTTTTTATTTTTTTAGAAACAAGAATCTTATATCTTGGAAGTGAAGCTGCATTTAATTGCAAATTTGTGGTTGGTTTCTATGTTATATATAGCCATTTTCTTATCAATTATACTTGTGTGTTGAAGAGCATGAGTTGGGTTAATTAATGTGGATGTCTATGCTTGTTACTATAGATGGGATTTTACTGAAAGAGGTGAATCGCCTTCTGCGAACCAATGGATACTTTGTCTATTCAGCACCACCTGCTTATAGAAAAGATAAAGAATTTCCGATGATTTGGGATAAATTGGTTAATCTGACTACAGCAATGTGTTGGAAACTCATTGCTCGAAAGGTCCAAACAGCAATTTGGATTAAAGAGGAAGATGAGTCATGCCTTCGGCACAATGCGGAGCTGAACCTTGTAAATATTTGTGATGCTGTTGATGAATCTAAACCTTCATGGAATACACCCCTGAGGAACTGTGTACAAATAAGAAATTCAGCAGAACAGAAACTCCCCCCTCAACCAGAACGTCTTTCAGCATATCCAGAGAGGCTAAGCCAAACAGGTCTTCTTACCCCTTAATAAAATTTTAAGGAATTAGTTCTCTTTCTGTTTTATTCCATGTTTCTTTTCATAACTTGAGTTATATTCTTCAACCTTGCTTGTTGTATTAAGCCTCTGCTTTTTAGATTTAAGATTATTTACTAGCATATGCGTAGTACTCATATTAGACAAGAGAATTGTAAATTTCTACTGAAATATTGAGGGAACATGAGGATTATGTTTATTTAAATTCACTCTTGAGAAGTTTAGTTACTTCTTGTGTCAACAATTTAATTTTAGATCATTATGTTTTTGTGTGTTTTCTGTTAGCTGAGTGGATGGAAGCTGTTTCACATGTAGTTGCTGCTTATTATTTCAGTATCATCTTGACAATTTAAAACATGTTGACAGTGTAAATATATGAAATGAGTGTATCCTTTTTCTGTTCGGCTGTTAACTTGTTGATATTTTTAATCAGGTATCAGTAAAGAAGAATTTAATTCTGACACTAACTTCTGGAAAGATCAGGTTCGACGTTACTGGAAGCTGATGAATGTCAACAAGACTGAAGTACGAAATGTCCTGGACATGAATGCTTTTTGTGGTGGATTTGCTTTGGCTCTGAAGTCATTTCCTGTTTGGGTGATGAATATAGTGCCTGTGAGCATGAAAAATACCTTGCCTGGTATATATGACAGGGGACTGTTGGGTGCTTTTCATGATTGGTAAGAAAATTCATTCCTAGTTCATAATTCTCCACTTACTGATTTACAAGGACAAGAGAACTATAAATACACTAGTTTATCCATTAATGTTTTACAAGGACAAGAGAACTATAAATACACTAGTTTATCCATTAATGTTAAGTTTTCTTGGTTTATTAGTTATTTTCTGTTAATAGGGTTTTATCTAATCCCAGGTGTGAGCCATTTTCAACATATCCCCGCACATACGATTTGTTGCACGCCAACCATATCTTCTCTCACTACAGAAACCGTGGAGAAGGTTGCTTGCTGGAGGATATAATGCTTGAGATGGACCGTATAGTACGACCTCAGGTACATGTTTTGTTGAAGTTAATTCTTATTTTTGCATATATTGAAGAACCAAAGTCAAATGCCCTCATTGTTGAAATTTGAAGGTGTACATTAGTAATTGTGGTGTCCAGGCCAGCTTCTTTAACAAGCATGGCTTTATAAATGCTAGCTTATAAAGATAGGAAGCTGAATGCTGGAACTAGATTCTGTTTATTGAGGACTATGAGCCTAAAACTTCATGCTTGATCCTTAGATCTTAATTTTTTGCGTGGATTAGTTGGTTATCTGCTTAAATTTTAAAATGATCATGTTTGGTTTGTTGGTTTTACAGACTAGTGTCAATTTTTTTTCTTCTGCATGCTATGTGTAGGGATTTATTATAATTAGGGATGAGGAGTCCATTACATCAAGAATTCGAGACATTGCTCCGAAATTTCTGTGGGAGGTTGAATCACACTTCTTGGAAAATAAAGAGAAAAAGATGGAACCTGTGCTACTTTGTAGAAAGAAGTTCTGGGCAATTGTGTAAGGGTTTGCCAGCTTTCAGAACTCTATCAATGGAATCTTTAACATCCTGCTTATACCACCACGGTGATTTTTGCTCATCTGTTTTCTCCTGGCTTCTCCATATGGTTACTGGCCTCATGGTAAAGAAAATCTTTGGCGTATTCATGAAATCTATAATTTCATTCATTGCTTGATATCATCATCTTCTCTGTATATGTTTTGGTAGCTAACAGTAACTGACACTTGTATTTCTCAACAGATTCTATAGCAGCTATCCATTTTTGTTTAATCCGATTTTTTAGAGAACAAAGAAATTGACATTCTGAACTGGGTTAATTGACACTTGTATATGTTTTGGTACACGTGCATGAATGTGTGACTTCCGGAATACGGTAGGATTCTTTCCAGAACTTAAAAAGAGTTAAAGTTCAATGCAGTAGAAGAACTTAAATATGTTATGAATCATGGGACAGATTATCTCTATGGATTTTGTTATGATTATCAATGATGGCTCTTACATTACAACATGTATATGGGTTCCAGTATGGATGGATGAAGAGGCTGTTTGAATTGTATTTCTTATTGGAAGTGCAGAGTTAGTTTTAGTGAAATGCAAAGATCAGAGGTGTTTGGATACAACACCAAAGATCTGAAAGTCATGGTTTTTAGGTCAATCCAAACAGACTCAATATATGGTCAATCGGCCATTGTCCATGGTCCTGTATAGTAGGCTAGTAGAAGTAGTTGGCCCATGTAAGTGTAAAGTAATTGTCACTTTTAAAGGCCCAAATGAGATGTATAACTTTCAAACATATATCTACGTACGTATATGCATATACACACACAAATGCACGTAGATAGGGTATGTGTGTACGTGTGTATGTATATATAGTGGGGGTTGACTTTGAGGGAGTATTGACCATGCAATGTTGGAATGGTGAAAAGAAAGGCCACTTAACAATGACTCTCAGTGATTTGACAAATCAACCCCACGCTTGTCTGCCTTGCCCCCACTTCCCTCTCACTAATTCCATTGCACCCACACCAGATCCACCATTTCTTTTTAGAGTTTCTTCTGGTTAACTCTCTCCATTTACTTCATAATATGGATCTCCCTAATTCTTCACTTCTTTTCTTCTGTTTTTTTTTTTCTTTTTACTTTTTCTAAATTATATGAGGTGATGTTGTGTGTATACGTACACATATATATATATATATATATATATATATATATATATATATATACACCATACACTTGGCGAAATGTGTTAAACTATGAACTATCAATGGTGCAAGGAAGTCAATATGCACTGTTACTCACCATATGTGAAGGGAAAATCTGTCTCTTCCTCTCATAATTGGACAGTGAACAAAGTGCAATTTCTAATAATTACTTGCTATTTATAATTAAGAAAATTACCAATAATAATACCAACAATTTGATATATTTCTCATTGGATGTTTATTAAAGATATAATAATAATAATAATATTCAAGTATATTTCTTTTCATACATTATTTTTTCTAACTTTAATTACTCTTAATTTCTCTTATATATATATATATATATATTTTTTGTTTTTCTTTTGAGGTAAGGAACGGCATTAACTAATTCTAATTACGTACGGAAGATACAGAATTAATTTTAATTATATTATTTCTAAACTTGCATGGCATATTCTTGCAACGTGCACTAATTGTGTGATTAGGTTAAAAGGTAAAGAAAAACAATTATATATATATAATTAATTAGAGGTGGAAGTAAAAAAAAAAAAAGGAAATAAAAGAAAACAGAAAGGGAAAGTGAAGCAAGTTATAATTAGAGATGAAAATCTCCATCTTATCCCAAAAAAGGCTAAGAAAGTTACGTACACTTCATCGGATTCTAATCTCATCATCATCAAATCTAATTTTATTTCCTGATCGCTTTACTTGGATTTTCTTTTTCTAACTAAATCTTAATAAAAATAATAATAATAATAATAATTTTACATTACATAATAGTAAATAATAATACGAGTCAGATATTAAATTAAAAATAAATTTATTGGGAAAAGGTAATAATTGAATATATATATATATATAGATATGCTAATTTGGTTAAATGTCTGTGCTTTAAGGAGAAAAGGGGGTGTGTTAACTTCCATTTTGAGGCATAAAAAAGCACTTTGTGCTTCACAAAAGCACCCTCTCATTTTTTCTATCTAATTAACCCTCTACTATATCTACATCTATATCTATATATACATATATATATATATATATATACCCTAAAGTTAGGCAACTCAAGTCCCAACTTTGGATTTTCCATTCATAACTATCTTCCTTTTATGTTTTCTACAAATCTAAACCATCCTATATCTATAAATATACATGCTGAGTTATATATATATATATATATATATACACACACACACACACATAGATTGACTAGTCCAAATCCGTAGCAGATCATTTTTAAAAGAATAAAATTTGATTATCCTATATATATATATATATAAATATAAATTGGAGTGGGTGAGAGAGAGAGGTGAAGTTGAGAGTGAGGGAGAAAAGGCAAAAGGAATGAGGAGTTGATTGAAGGGACACCTCATCATCCCTCTTCTCCTGTTTGTGTGAATCAAACACCACTCCTGCATACCTACTGCAAAAGCTCTACGTGTACATGTACATATATACATACACACACACACACAAATTATTGAGACTCCGTCTGTCACTATGCAAAATCAAATTGACACGTGGGAATCAGTGCTTCCTATTTTTTTCTTTTTTCTTTTTTAATTTTTAAATATATATTAAAATTCTCATTTTAAAAATATTAATTTATATATTAAAAATTCAAATAAATATAAAGTTTTCTTGAGAAAAAAAATATGCACTTTTAATTTGTTGAAAGTTGGAAGGGGGCAGAGGTGAAGTGTAAAACAAAAATCGACGAATTAATTGAAGTGAAAGGGAGCGGGGATAGGGACGAGTACGTGGGTTTTTGCCACGTGTCGACTACTTATTAGGTGATCGGATGAGCCCTAGCTTCCAGCCGAACGGTTTTTTTTGTTTTTTTTTGTTTTTTTTTTGTTTTAATGTATTCACTTTATATATTTAAATTATTGTTTTTAATTTTTCTTGTAATGCATAATCATAATATAAAATAATTCTTTTGAGTTTCAAATGAGAAACTTTAAACTGATATCTCTTAGATTAATTTATTAGCAAATTCAACTAAAATTTATAATAAAATATTTGGCAAATTTTATGTTTTCTTGATATGATAATTGGGTTTGATAATGGTTGAACTAATTCTATTACACCACAAGAACCATTACTACTCACCTATTAAAATAAATAAATATAAGTGATTTAAAAGATTAATTTATTCCAATGATTGTTAGTCTCGTTCTTGTTGAGACTTAAAATAAAACGATATTAAAAAATTATCAGTCTCACTCTTGTTAAGACTCAAACTTGTATTTTTCATTTATACTGTGTCAAATCACATATAATTTCCTCATTAATAATTAGATAGTGGTTAAAAAATTACTTTAATATATAAAAATGTTAAAATATGTATCACTATTAGCTTAATTTTCACCGGTTCACTCAACTGAATTGTGAAACTGGTCGTGGAGTCCCATAAGTGTTTAGTTTATATTGTGTGTACACATATACATATATATATATATATATAATGTGCTTTAGGATAGGGGTTGAAATGTGTGCATGTGTGGTGTTTGTTTACCCATTTCTTTTTCTTATATAATCGATTTATCCTTAATTAATAAAGTGTAAAGAAAGAAAAAGAAAACTTTATTAGCGTTTCCTCAAATTGTTGTCAATGCCTCACTTATCTCATCTTTATTCTCTTTCAAGTTTGTCTAGATCTCATCTTCCTTTCATCAAATTTTTTTTTATCAAAATATTTTATGGTATCAGAATATAAATGAAGAACAAAAACTCCAATCAAACTTCAAATTCTACTTTCCATCAAAATCTAACTTCGTCAAATAAAAATGTTATTGATCTTTCTTATATGAACAATTCTTGTTAATCAAGACCAGTGAAAGCTCAAATGGTGTTATTTATAATGTATTTACTTGATTCAAATAACTATTACACTTAGTAAGATTGACAAAAATTGCATTATATATCAATAATAAACTAGGGTTTATCGATAGAAGTTTAAAAAAACTGACATATTCAAATAGTCTGCTTATAGAACATTAGTTGTGATGCAATGATATAGTTATCAGAAGTGTAACATGTTTTATACAGACACACTTACCAATTGTATATCAAGCTCGAACAAACTAGTGTGTACTTAGATAAAATATTTGTTAATATCTTTCATACTTGCAGATTTTAGGTGCCAAAACTTTGAAATTGCTATTGAATCAAAATCTTAAGATTGTTGAAGAAAGATGGTAAGTTCATTCCTAACTCAACCATGTATGGAAAACTTATTAGAAGGATGATGTACCTGACCT